AAACGGATTTGAATAACCATTTGTTGGATTTGAAGACTAGTGTCGAGACATTGAGTTCGCAATTGTCGGACAAAAAGAGTCACAAAACGGATCTGACGAACAAAACGAAGAGTTTGATGAAAAAAGTGGAGGAAATGGAGAACAGAGTGAAAGACTTGAAACAACAAAACCATTCAAACGATTCAAATGAATACATGGTTTTGGCGTCAGTTATGCGAGTGATGTATAAGACATGGAATAACTCACAAGTGGTCGGATGTAAGATGAAGATTGTCTTTTCATTATCTGTCAATCGTTTCAATTGTTTTCTTAACTATTTTTCAGTGCTTTTCAATGACAACGAAGAGAAGAGTTTAGAGAAACTTATAGTTATGGACAACGAGAAGAAATGCGAGAAAACAATGTCTCAACAGTTCTGGCGGTCACTCAATACTGACTATCAACTCGACGACTGATCCATCCATCCATCCATCCATTTCAACATTTAATTTCATTTTCTATATGAATTCAGAGCACTTGTAGCTCACACCCTAACCCTTTATTGTAGCCATTTTTAGATAATAAATACCGTAAAATGTTTTTAAAACAATGTTAATTTTAATACAATATGAATAAATCGGTACAGAATATGATGTAATAAAACAATTATAAATGCTATCAATTTAAGCAATGGTTACGTTTGCGTCCAAACAATAGCGCTGTAAGAATGAGACGGCATTTGGAGGCAAACCAGTAGTGATGAGTGGATTGAGTTTCCCCGGATGTTTGGCCGACAATTTGCCCAAAGACTGCGCCAAATATATTCGCGGGTCAGACACCACTCCATCTAAAGGGTCGCGCTCTCGATGTCCAGCGAAGACCAGCTGTGAATACGACGCCTGATATTCGAGAGTGTCTTCGATTTCGATGAAGTGTTCGTCGTCTGGAATGGTCTCATCGACGGGCAGTTCAAACAGAGCCACCAATGACTGCAATACCGGTGCCCAGAATTGCGAGTATTGGC